GACATCAGGTAACTATAATGATACAACTATTTAATGAAACTTTATTTGCAGAGCAGTTGAACCAGTATTTTTTTTGTTCGATACTAACAAACAATTTCATATATAGCGACCACGGAGACTATCATCACACGCAAAGAAATTACTAGCCGAACTGTTAGACGGTTATTCGTACATCAATCAGAATCTGGTGCATTCTTGCTTAATGAAAAGACTGCTGGCTTCTATGGATTCAAAACATCGGATGCATTTTCTATAAGCTTGAAAAAATACTTTGTCAGTGAGCGTGTGAGCAAGGTTGACAGTCAAGTCTGGGTGACTGCAGTTACTCTGTGGTACTGGAGACTTGTGGCCGTTGATTACAAACACGATTGGCTTGATCGATACGACAAGGCGCATGCTTGGCTGAAACTTCATTTACAAGGCGACGCTCAGTTGGAGGAGGAAATCCTCGAAAGTGCTAAGAAGTTTGTCGTTGAAAAATATAAAGTCGAGAAGGAAGTTTTCGCGATTGATGAAAGCTTTGTCAGTGCCCAAAAAGAAAAGAAAGAAGTTCTCAAAAAAGTGAAAAAAGAAGAAAAAAAGAGACTCTTAGAAACCAAGATTGGTAAGCATTACGCAATTTACGTGAATATAGTACATACGAGACTTTTCACTCATGACTTTACTTTTATTGCAGATACGACGGTTAAGATTACACGCGCTCAAATCAGCAAGACCGTTGTTCTCAAACATATCACATGTTATCATAAAGAAGGCTACGTCAAGATTGATAACGAATTTGCCAAACTCTTTACGTTCGACTCGGCACACTCGTTCGAAACAAGTCTTCGAGGTCACTTCAAGTCTGAGCGTGTTTCCAAGCTTGATATCCGCATTATAGGCACAGCCGTATCGTTGTGGTACCTACGTCTCGTAGCTGTGGACCATCGTGTAGAATGGGAATCAAGTTACAAGCGTTCTTATGCTTGGATATCTGCTCAAATTAATGATGCCAAACTTGAACAAGAAGTACATGAATTCGCTAAGACTTACATTATCGAGAGATACCGAGTTGACGATGAATCGATTAAAGCCGATGCTTCATTCGAAGGTACGTTCTTTCTCAGTCCCGTAACAAAATCTATATGAATGTGTTATATTAACCTATTTCGGCTTTATAAAGTCGCTTTTCAAGCTCATGTCGAAGAGAAGAAATCCACTCATAGCGAAACCGTTGTAGAGGAAGTTAAAGTAATTGAAAAATCAGGGCATGGTGGAAAGACCTCGCACGGCGAAAGTCATTCAGGAGGCAAAGCGACCGTCGAAAAAACGATCGAAATTGAGGAGGTTAAAGTAATTGAAAAATCAGGGCATGGTGAGAAGACCTCGCACGGCGGAAGTCATTCAGGAGGCAAAGCGACCGTCGAAACAAAGACCAAAACTGAGGAAGTTAAAGTAATTGAGAAATCAGGGCATGGTGAGAAAACCTCGCACGGCGGAAGTCATTCAGGAGGCAAAGCGACCGTCGAAAAAACGATCGAAATTGAAGAGGTTAAAGTAATTGAAAAATCAGGGCATGGTGGAAAGACCTCGCACGGCGGAAGTCACTCAGGAGGCAAAGCGACCGTCGAAACAAAGACCGAAATTGTAGAGGAGGTTAAAGTAATTGAAAAATCAGGACATGGTGAGAAGATCTCGCACGGCGGAAGTCACTCAGGAGGCAAAGCGACCGTCGAAAAAACGATCGAAATTGAAGAGGAGGTTAAAGTAATTGAGAAATCAGGGCATGGTGAGAAGACCTCGCACGGCGGAAGTCACTCAGGAGGCAAAGCGACCGTCGAAACAATGATCGAAACCGTATCAGTTCATAAGTCTGCTCCCATTAAAGATACTAAATTTACCGGGCCGCATGTCAAACCTACTGAAACTAAGACCGAGACTCATAGCGAAACCGTTGTAGAGGAGGTTATAGAAGTAACTACAGTGACGGGGAAAGACGGACATCTTGATTCTGAATTGATTGTTTCTGGTGCAGCTTATCAAGCACTCCGTAAATTTAAATGCCAGCGCAACAAAGTCAAGACGACCATTGCATATGATAAAACAGATGCAGTTGGGAAAGTTTCGGCGTATGCTAAAGCGGAAGTTGACAAACTCGTTGCTAAGAATGAGACCCATAATAAGGAGGATGTCTCGAGTCGAGCAGTTCGTGTTGCCCGATTCCTTCTTGAGAATTATTATGATGATGTTAATGACTGCAAATGCTTTGAAGAAAAAGAGAAGTAGAATTAGTCTGTACTTTAGCGATTTAGGAATAAATTATTTAGCGATTGAGTAGTAAGTAGCTTTTATCATCTATTTATTAGATATGGATAACTGATTATATCAACACATATATATATATATAATAAACGAGCACATTTTTACGACAGAACGTTAGTGTGTCATTCAAATTCTGTATATGGAAAAAACAGAAAAGAAAAGAAAAGAAAAATTCCTGTCTGTCCCTTTTGTGAGAAAGTTCTTTCGGGATAGTGTAACTTTTGTTCTTATATCTACTATTCGGCCTCTTCTTGTCCAGCCCCAATCATACTCAGAGCGACGATACGATGTTTGCAACCACCAATTCAATGCGCAAAATTAGTTAATAGCCTGAACTAAAATCCGATCAAATTAACGATGCTCCTTGTTAACCTACGCACTTCGCTTATTTTATTAATCTTATGTCTCCCTCCTTTTAAATAAGATAGCCGTAACAGGCGCCAGCCACGCCCTCACGTGTGATATCAAACCTGGCCCACTTCACTCTCCGTGCTAGGGCTAGAACTTTACGTTTTTAATCCACAAACTGCTTGTTCACAAATTGTAATTATTGTTTCCTAAACACTAACATACATAATCTTTATCCTTCAAGTATGAATAGCAAATATTTTCATAAATCATCTGTTGTGGACAAAAAATCGACCCGGGAGATTATGATCTTAAAATTAAGCAAAAGTCTTTATAAGACAAAGTTATCTTTCGCGTAAGTTTCTTCCACGCCCAAGTATTATATAACCTAAAAGATTGATACATTACAGTAGCGCATACTCGAAGAGAGATATAATAATTACAATAATAATTTAGTAATATCATCATACAATCAACTCTTCAATAATATCAAACACTATACATAAATAAATAGTCTTGACTAAAACATTAAAAATTGCATTGCTATACACAGAAGCTCTTCGACAATGACAGTCTGTCGATGAATAGTATCTTCAATCATTTGATAGAGTCACAATTAAATTGCTATATTGTAGTACGGAACAAAACCAGCATAGATGCTAAAGGAGAAAGGAGAATAAAGAATAAAAGTGCAGTCAATACGACAAAATTCTGAAAATTGGAAGAAACGAACTTAATAAACATACTGAAAGAAAGTATTGACAATGGATGTTAGTTTCAGCTAATCGAATTGTCCGACGTGTAATGGATGACGTATATTCTTCCTCACATTTCTTTTGTAGCTCTAACGGTATTATAATGCACAGGCAGTGATACAGGCAGTACACAAGTCGTTATTACACAGCAGTCGTGCAATACAATTCATCGATTAATATGGTAGAAGTGGCAGTACACGTAGTTTAAAAATAGGCGAAAGCGGCAGTTCAGTTAAGCAATACGTTTTTCCGCTATGATTGGTGAGTTCTCGTGATCTTATACTTTCAAGTCTTTTATTTAAATAAACGAGCAGTCCTTTATACTCTGAACATATACGTTGACCTAGTATTATTCGATATAGCCGAAAAACCGTTAATCACTATATAATCTAGGGGTATTCGTTTTTTGTCCTGCGATTACTCTCGTGGAATTACGATAAATATTCGTTTAAGAACCGCGTTTGTTATAATGATACACTCACCCGAAGGGAATAGTGAAGATACTCGAGGACGAATATTTATCTAGGATTGACGTCCACCGATCGACATTGAGTTTAAAGGTCACTGACTGTTACTGTATTTAACAATTAAAGTAGGACACAGCTTCGCTCGAAAGATAGTTACCGTACAGTTCCGAAAATATGCACCGACCCCTTTGACTATAGAGGGTAGATTTTGTGTAACAAAATTGAGAAAATCACAAACATTTAGATTAATTAATACCATATTAGTAAACTTTCTAGACAGATTCAATAGTGGTAAGTAAAAACAAACGCGAGAATCCAGTATTAGTGTGATTAAAAGAAACGCGAAACATTTGATATATAGATGTTGCAATCAACATTTCTAATAATAATAATAATAATAATAATAATAATATATAACACAATACAAATTTATCGTGCAATTTTCAGCTAACTAAAACTATAAACATTCAGCAAGCATGTTAAAATAAATATGTAAATAAAAACCAAAGTCAGCCGCCGCACGCATCCAACCGCTTTTGAATAATGGTATGGTATCGTTCTTTGCGGAGCGGGACTTCATTACATTCCTTCTCATTATCAGTCAACATCTGTTCAAACTCTTCTTCTGTACTCCTCATATATGAGTGAAATAATTTTCATTGCTTTATATGCCTCTACGGAATCTTCGTCGTGCTAGGAGCAGCGATGTGTGTTGTTGGGTCAAGCGTTCATGGGAAAACATATCCGCTCAAACCATAATTCGATCTTTTGAAAAATGTGGTACAACAGGGAATTTAGATAGAGTTGGGAATTTTGATAAAGAAAATACGGAATTGGAAGTTATTGTTATAAGTGATAATGAGACTACGTAGATGAGTTTATCTATTCTCAAAATACAATAAATAGCTACACAAAAATTTTGGGGAGGTGCTTATTTTCGGAGATAAAAATTTTTTTTTGGGGGGGGTGCTTATTTTCGGAACTGTACGGTAAATCCCAAGAGTTGATATCAATCGACAATCGATCAACTTTCTTCGGCAAATTTTCCAAATACCAAAGTTTTTATTTTGAGATATCTCGCGATTTCGGCCATAAGAATTCAAAAATTCATATCTCGACACTTTTCTAAACAAATTTTGGTATTCCTTTTTTCTTTTTCTTTTTCTTTGTTTCTCTGCAAAGCCTACTGGTTCAACTTCTGGTCGATGTCCCATCAAAATGCATTCATACAATATTATATCGGCGTTACTGTGTGATTTCTACTACAAAACGTAAATAACGTGCGACATATAAATATTATGCGCGTTTCTTACCAAGTATAACAACGATTTTCTCTAATTCGACCACATCTCAAGAAACCCGTAAACGTTGATCTGACAAACATGAAGTTTATGTGACGTGCGGTTTTGATATGTTTGATATGCTTTTACGTGTTTTAGAGACAAATATTGGTTGGATGTTTTGGAAAATTTTCAAACCGCTTACTTATTCCTGTCCCGAACCAGGAGCGGCCGGATAATTATGCTCGCTATACTGTATGACAATAATTGGAATGATAAATAAAATTGTTTATCCGGTTAAGGTCTATCATTTTGCAGTTATATTTTGTAAAAGAAAAAACATCCACTAATACTAAGGAGCCATTTTTGTTTAAAGTTGAGCACTTTTTAATCTTTGAGGTGAGATTATCTTAAAATAGGCTGTGAACGCGATGGGCTACGAAATTAGCACAAATTTTGTTTAGGTTAAGGTAGAAAATATTTGAGACGAAGAAAACAGAACAAGACGCGTGTCCAATTTTATCAATAAGAATATGGTTATACTATAATAATAAATCGTTATTCTAATCTTGCCGATCACTCTACTCTTGTAATTTTTCGGTAGTCTTGAATATTTGGCCAAATGACTGGCTATCATCCCCATACTACGTATTGCAACACTCATCTACAAATTTATTGTCCCTCGCTCTGCCTACTCGATTATTACGAATCCCAACAACTTTCGGACATTCATACTCAACAATCTCTATAAGTCATCCTCATTATATCCATTATACCATACTCACGCGCTTCCATGCTCCACCCCATCGTCAAGTCCATTCCCAACTTCCCTATTCAACTCATTGTTCCTCTTCACCTTTGTGTCCGCTAGAAATCTTATTCTCACATTTTCTGCTTCCCACCTCCAATTAGTCTTGATAATCATAATCGATTCTCCTATCCCAACACACATCGATCCAACCGTTAAACCAGCCCAGAGACCTATCAGTTGCCAGTCAAGGAGGAAAGCTGTGACCAAGGATAGTGGAAGACCAATTAAGTAATATGCAATTATGTTAAGCGTAGCGCCGACTTTTTGACGGCCAAGACCGCGAACTATACCACCGCCTACCGTTCCGAGTGCATCGCTTATCTGTAAAAGAAAAAAACAAACATGTAATCACGTAGTCACGTAATCACATAATTATCACGTGATATGGGTGTGTGCTAACCTGAAACGCGGCGCACATTGGTAAAACTGATGCTACTAATTCCACAACCTCTTTATCCCCGGTAAACAGATATCTGCAAAAACAAATTATCGATAAATGTCGCAATCTATCCTCAAACCGTCAATCATTCAAGCAACTTACCCCCAAGAATGCCTACACATCAACAACAATGACATTGTTGTTCCTCCAACCATAACTGACAAGGCCATAGACATACGCGAGCTAACCTGAGCTCGCTTTACCAATCCTGCCCCGAGAAGATTTCCAACACGATTTGATGCAGAAATGGCGACACCAAAGGGAAACTGGAATAAGGTCGAGCTAGTAGTGAGGATCACGCTCTGGGCTGCCAGAGCTGTTTCACCAAAATAACCTGCGGCTAGAGCTACGAGTTCGAAAGCCCACCACTCGGAACTGGCCAGGAGATTGAGTATTTAGCAAAGTTAATTCTAAACAAAGCAAAAACTCGTACGCTGATTACAACTGAAATCATATATCGCTTACCAAACCATGAAAATGCCTGGCACAGCTAACATTACAACTTCACCCCAACCCGAAAGGCATTGCTTTGTCCATCCTCCCCATACCTGGTACCCATCAAAGTATCGGATGTAACCAACGAGCAGAATTAACATAAACCAATACGTTGTCGCGGTTGCAATGGGTGCCCCAATAAAACCGAGAGAAAGCGGTTCATACCAGACAAGTATATAGTTTAAGAATATATTTAATGTTGCGGCGATTACTAATATGTAAGTTGGGGCTTTCACTATTCCTAAGATGAGTAAACGCGAAAACTTTCGTTAATTAATGCAGTCGAAAAAAAATTCCTTCCTGTTCAGCGCCGACATCCTCTTCTATCAGTCTAACCTCACGTTTTCTGTATTCAAAAGTTACTAACGAACCTTGTGCCTGCAAATACTTCTTAAGACACTCAAACATTATAAAAGCTGGTGCTCCAAACAACAAGCATCGCAGGAAGAGGCCAGCTTTTCGGGCCAAATCTTCTCTTTGTCCAAGAAATATCAATATCGATTCTGCCTCTAACCATATGGCTGCTATAGGGATGGTGATGAGGAAAATAATAATTATCGTACGTTGCAGATATACACCAACGAGCATGGGGTTCCCACTGGTGAAAGCTTGAGAGCAAAGGGTGTCGAGAGCTGTAGCGGCACCGAACGTTACAGACCAACCGGTGACCGAGGCATACTTGAACAGAAAAATTGATAATAAAAGTTGTGAAATCGCGAAATATGGCGTTTTTGATTTTTTATTTTTTTTTATTTTTTGGTTTCTTGATGCGTGTTTGAATTATTTACCATTGATGCCAGTGCCGATGAGGCCAATTCAACCGAACCCTAATTAAAAGTTGATCAAGTCGTCATTATCATGAACGTTGTTATCCATAGAGCCTCCTGGTTATCCAAATCACAATGCTACTGCAATTCAAAGATTCCTTACCAAATGTCCCAAACTGATAACGCACACAATTTGTAGCGAGAATTCTATAAGGTATGTCAACACTATAGGCACAGACTTTCGAACAATAAACGCTGCTTCCTTCAAGTCATATGTCATATCGTCGGGCGCATCGCCCAATGGAATATCTTCGTAAACTATGTTTGAAGACTGTAAAAGGGGCGTGGATTCGGAGGCTGACGAGATAAGGGTTTGTGGAGGAGGTTGAACCGAATCAGAAGGTAAATTCGTTGTATATGAGGAAGTCATTGCGGTCTACAGGTAGACAAGCGAATTTCAAATTAAGTTTAGTTTCTCGCGTTGCATCCTCTTTCTGCACTGGTATATATATACTTCAATTGTATTTACTGTTCAGTGATCCAAATGTCAATATAAAAAAGACAGACTGCAACAAAGTGAACATTTATAATTTATAATCATAACATGATAATCAGGAATTTATCCGACATGTTACACCAACCACGAAATTTCACCCAAAGTTGTCTATTTGTCAGAATATGCTACCAAAAAAAGAAATCAATTCGGTGTGTAACGTATCGGATAATATCCCGATAATCAAAATTTTTGTGTACAGTACGGGAACATATTTTTGCCGAAAAAAAATCGGTAACAGCCCCGAGCGTAGTAAGCGTAGTAGTTACAATTGTTCACTAAATTCTATCATATCTACTTGCTATTTATTATACATTAGTAAGGTTTTAATAGCGATATATGCGTGGTGGCGTAGTTTTGGCAAAGCCTTGTAATAATATATCGTCATATCTGTTTGCATACAATGTATTGGCGGTAAAATGTATTGGTGTTGCAAGTCGCAACATATATGATCTGTTAAAACAATTGATCGTACACATATTTGCTTAAAAAGAAATAATTAGAATAATTACGATAGTATGAACAAGATAACTCGTATATTTATTGTCCGGGTTGGTGGCTTAATACTATCTCGTCATGATGACGTTTTTTTTAATACTCAAACGATATAGTAACTTGGAGAATATAACGGCTTTCATACATGCATCCCGTTTAGGATGACAGAAAAGCATCGCCCAAAGAATAAAAAACTCCGCTAAACTAAAAAGAATACCAAACAATGACTTCAGCGACAACGTTATCGACTCGTTTCAAAGTGGACTTATTAATTGGCGTTTGATAAATACTGTATATTGAAGATCGGCACGTAAAACCATAACGGTTATAGCAATAGCAATAGTTATTATAATCTTCATAGGCAGTTAGTTCATAATTGTTTATTTATTGATATCGAGGACAAGTGGCGTTATGGCACTCAAATAATATAATATTCGTTTTCAAAAGTGTATAAAAGGATTAGGTGCTTGCTAAGTCGGACAAAATCAGATTTAAATCCTCTCGATAAGTGTGTCTGACTTATCGAATTTACCTATGTACGCAAAGAGTATTGATCACATGATGATAAAATTTTATGCAGCAGTATTAACAACACATAACAAACTTTATACGTCTCTTTGAATTTTAGATTAATATTCTGTGGGATTCCCTTTATTTTTAATCACAGCACTGATTCTACGTGGCATGCTATTTACCAATTTCTCTAAATCGCTGGTGGGAATTTTTAACCCACTTTGCCATATTAGTACATCACTCAATTCTTTGGATGAGTGTACCATAGATGCTCAATTGGATTAAGGTCTGGGCTTTGTACAAATTTTCCTCTTTCCATTCAACTACAGACTTTGTACAAATGTGAACGCGATAGGCTATTCTTCTCATGATGGGCTTGTGCGATTAACGATTATACTAGTCGTAATTGTATTAGCCGTTACGTATACGAGTCGTCACGATAACCACGTGTCTAGACGAATATTCCTTCTAAGATACAGGGAAGCTTAACCCAACGAGCGTATTGTCATATCGAACTCTTTATACTCTTTCTTAGTTCAGCAAATTAAGCATTAACTCTTCGTTTGGCGTCAAGTGTTCACCTAGTCGCAACGGAATACAAGTAAACTCATAGAAAAACGTAACATTGTCACAGGCTAACGATATCCCTAAATGATATCGGAATTAGCTTCCGGTTCAGTTAATTATCCAGCAATAATAATTATGAACGCTCTCAATGGTTAACAGTCGAATATCCCGTAAAAGGATTTCCCGTGAGTCGTCCCAGGCGAGACGTTATCCATATTCAGAGATTGGTGACGATGACAATGTGTGTGGAGGTTGAGTTACTTCTTTGATATGTTAAGTGAGATAAACTCCGGCGAACGATAAATCGGTTTGTTGTATCCAACCGTAGGCCTTGGACCGTAATATGTCTTCTTTATACACACTAGAGATAATGATAAACATTATCTCTCTCTCACTTAAACACATCGGTATCATAGCCTTTTCCTATGTTGGTTAAGGAAGTTATTAAATGTTCGCTACGGAGGAATACATAGTGAAACCACTACGTTACGAGCCGACGGAAAGACTCGCCCCGTTTTGATAC